TTGGTGTATGCGCCAACATTGTTAAGCACCCACTTTCGAGGCAGAAAACTGACCTTTCCAGCTCTGCTCACACAACAAACAGCAAAGCACCTGGCAGTGCTGCTTGGAAAGGCATAAAGCAGTTTATGGCTGGTTTTGAAATCCTAGGAAACTAACAGATTTGCACCTTTGGGTTAAAAAGCAGACCAAGCATGTTTTCTTCAGCTAATTTGATCAATTTTTAATGGTGACTTGTGTTAGACTAGATTTCCTGCCTACAGTCTGATCTGAAATATTTTTGGACTGTTACCATCGTTAAGGAAAATACCGAAACAGGAAACACTGGAATGTTGTAGATATTCACAATCAAGTACGCAGTGCAAACAGCATTTCCTTTACCAGAAGTGTTTAAGTCCTTTCAATTATCTACATTTACACTTCTCTTAAATAATCATTAGTACAAACATGAAGACATTTTAACCACTTGGCTACCATTAAAAGAGAAGATGCAGAACACACACACAGAAAATTTGTTTTGATCTACAGAAGAACATAAGGAGAAGCATAACAAAGTATTTCCCTAAAACACTCTCCCATCCTCCAGCTAATTGCAGCTTAAGGGCTTTCTGCAGCAGAGATACTGCCATAGTATACAATATCCTTTATAGATTTGTCTTCCACTAATTCATCCAGTCTCCTCTTGAATCCATGTGCACTTCAGCATTCAGAGTGCAGTCATAAATGAACTCCCTACTGTCACAACAGCATCAATCCTTTGGTGGAACTGAAACACCTGATGTGAGCTTAGACCCATATCTAAAATCTCTCCTGGCACAACTCTGCTGTCAACCTGAATGTAGGTGTTGTGGTTTAGGATCAAACCAGGACAGTAGGTCAAGAGAGCATTTTGCACACAAAATCATTTAAATGAGTAATCATTTAAAATGCATCAGATAAGGAATTAAAAATCACTATGGATTTATGCTTTCACAGGACATCTCTGTGACAGTGAGCAGAAGAGAAGGACTGGAAGACTTCCCACTCCAGAAAACCTGCTGCCGCCGGGCACGTCCTTAGCACTGGTTGTGCGTGATGCCCCAGCCCACAGAGATGCTGCCCTGCCAGACCAGTGGTCCTGGCCAGCACAGCTACTTTGTGCAACAGATCCAGCTAATGAGCTACGACTGCAGAGCATGGAGATCAGGCCCAAGAGCTGGTGGTGCTAAAGTGGAAATTATATCCTTTCATTTTTATACTCAGCCAACTAGTTACAGAGCCACTTCAACAGAGAAAACCTTTCAGCTCTGACCTGAGCATACTGTCAGCCTTTCTGAGTAATGGACTGACCAGAACATCAAGCCTTACTGACAAGAGTTTGGCTCACCAAGGTTTAGGAAGCTAAGGCCGTATCACTTGGCCGGGTGGCCCTCATTTTCCCAGATGTATTCCACCCTCTTCACCACAGTAGCAATCCTCTTCCCTTCTTCACGGAAGAGGGCTGACCACCACTCATAATCTGCTCTACTCACTTCCCCTACCCTAAGTTGACAGTTCCTCTGTCACCCCTCAAGACCTTCCATTTTCAGGTCTTGGCCAGAGTAAAGAAGGGCTCCGGCCGCAGTAACAAAGACTACACTGCATTTCTGACCACTGATTCTAGCTGCATTTGGGACAACACAGTTATGGGGCCCAGCTGAGTGCTAGGGATAAAATACTCTCAGAGTACAACCAGGAAAGACCACATGATGCACACAACTGTCTTTTAGCACTGAAAGTGTATCATATTCCCTGATACATCTCTAGCAGCTATCAAATCTCCAAACAAATAAGCAACTCTTCCCTAAGCAGAACTTTACTTCCAAAGAAGGAGGAAGACCAAAGACATAAAGTCCCTAGAATAATCTAAAATGGATTTTACATAGAGCTATGCATGTACAAAAGCCTAAGGTGGCTAAGTAGCTAGATCACTGCTTTTCGCTGGTGGTCTTGACACTCTTGGCCATTTTGTTAGCAGTACTCATCAATCAGTAGCACAGCAGAAGCATCCAACACATAGTCATGCTACCTCCTTGAAAGGAAGTCTTCAAAAAGAGTTGGGCTGTGATAACTCAAAGCCCCCGCATGGTTTTACACAGCTGCACTTCCAGCTAGAAATCTCTCCCTGGGCAGCTTCCACATCCATGGTCAATGAAACCATGCATGAGGTAGCTATAAAGTTAACAGCTTTGTAATTAACATTAGCAAACACATTTTACAGACTCAATGATCTGTAGGAGTGAGCTTGCCTGCAGGCTGAAAGAGCCCTTGCCTCCCCTCCTCTCTACCAGCCAGAGGCACATGGCACAGGTTTGCTATGTCAAGGTATTTCGGAGAGGAAAAGGAGTGCTCCTTAGCAAGAAGATTACAGGCTGCCATGTCAGAGGTCAGTATGAGAAACTCTGGGGCTAACAGGCTGCAGCAATGCTCACCACCAATTCATGCTGCCTGCACTGTGCTCCGTCCTTCCCTTCGTGAATTCCCTCAATGAATTGTCAGGCTTTTATTGGCCAAGACCCATCACGTCTTCCTGAACTGGGAAATGCCTACTGAACTCCTAGCATTATCCCAGCTATGGTACAAGATTTCTGTTTATCACAGAAAAGCCCTAAACAATTGAACTACTGTGTCATTTAAGGTATGTTTCTGCACTCCTTCTGAAAGCACTTCATAGAATCAGAGAATCAGTGCTGCCTTCCTTTACTTTTTCAGGACTCAGGAGAGACTGATGCCTGACAGGCCTTTGATGCAGCCTGGGACATCACTGTTTAGGCACTATCAGTGCTGTTTGATCAAGAGGCTCCAAAATGAACAACCTTTCTGAGCCTGCATTTGGCAAAAACTAGACAATTAATAGCTTGGGCAACACACAACCATGTATTTTATCTGCTAAATTAGTACAACACAAAGAGAGATCACCTCTGGTCACACCTCCTCTGCTATGAGTGAGGTTTCCATGAGACCTGTGTTTGATTTCTTGCTGTCAGGAGACACCAAATAGGCTGACAGTCTCTGCCACAAATCATCAGCCAATTTTTCACTGGGCAAGTTGCTTTCATTAGGTCAAAGTGCAGCAAATGCAAGCAACATTAGGATTAAAGGCTGAATTCAGTTCCCTCTTGCAGTCCAGTGCCTGGCCAGACAGAGCACTAAGAGGTCAAATTAAACAAACCAGCCAGAAAAGGCTGCTGCCAAACCAAAACACAGCTACTGCCCACCCTGCATCCCTCCCTCTCCCCATCCCAGTCCCGCTCATTGTCATACCTGCTGACTGTCAGGGTTAGTTCATCTGCACAACCCTTGATTTTGTTCTGTGCCTCAAGGTGGGTCATGTTATCCGTGTCCACTCCATCAATGGCTATGATCTGGTCTCCTATGCACAAGTTGGCTACTGCAGCTTTGCTACCTGGAGTCACCTAAAAGAAAACAAAAAAAGAATGAATGGACCTTCCAGGGAGCAGCGTTCCATAGCTACATCTGAAAAAACAGTTGGAGCACTCAGGACTTCCCTTGCTGGTACCTGGAAGAAAGGAGGTGAAAACTAATGCAAGTAAATTCTCAACAGGAAGCTACCTTGATCTGAGCCTCTTGGACACCCACAGTATTAAAATTAGAGGCCGAATTTTGGCACCCACAGACAGAAACTTGGGGAAAACAGGTAAGTAACAGAAACTGCCTTTTCACTCAACACAATTGGCTTCATGCTAGAGAGCAAGAACATATAGAAAACAACTTTGTTCCTTGCTGGATGGAGAAGTGCTCTCCAAATAGAAGGTGCTGAGGACAGCCAATAAGCCTGAGCCTCTAAATACAGAGGTGATAGAAAACAGTACCAAAGTCATTGCAATGCAATCAATGCCAATCAAGCACACCTTTGTCCGCATCATGATCTCATTTGCTTCCTTCTTTGGAAGAAAGTTTGGGCTCAATATTTTTGATTGCTGCTTTAGTTTTACTCTGTTTCAGCCCAGGAACATCTGCAAGGGATTCTCACTGACTTCAGTGAGATCAATTGCAAAGCAGTGAAAGGATCATCCCTAGCCAGACCACAGCTCACTTTGACACGTTCTGCCATATACATCTCCCTTTCCTCTCCACGTGTAGTGCTTTGCTTCCCAGCCACACCACTGCTAAAGACTTAACACTGCTACAGAGTTGTGCCTGAGAGATGACTGATGGGGAAGAGTTTGGGGTAACCTTACTGAGATCCCTGACAGAAGACACTGCACAGCGACGTCACCAGTATGATACCCTTTGTGAAAAAAAGAAGGTCCCAGTTAAAACTTGGCATTTTCAAGCTAATCAACTAAATGGCTCATTCATTTTTCCCCTATTTCTGCTGAAGAAGTGCCTTCTTAACAACAGAGACCTCTTTGGGTCAAAATTATTGCCTGGGCGGAGGGTGAAGAATGTCACACTTGCTGGTAGCTTTGCAAACACTATGTAAGATTTTGTGCAGTTTTAATGACTTTCTGGAAGGAGCATAATGATTAATTACTGTGGGCTTTCATCAATTACTTAATAGGCAGAGGAAATGAGAAGGGTGGACTGCTCCCAGACATGAGGACAGATTAAAACATGCCTTGAAGCTGGGACACACCTCATTTATGGGTCTGTTGCAACTGGTATTCATTCTACACATTCATGATAGGTTTCAGCATGCTGAAAAGCAGCTGAGCAAATGCAGCAGAGCTGTCAGACATAAATAAACATTACTCGGAAGATTTAGAGAGTCCTCCTAATGTGGGATTGAATGGCAAATCGTTTCCCCTAGGGAAGCGTTCACCTCCCAGAGGTGTTGCACATCAGCTGCAATCACAGCTTTTCTTGGGCCAAAACCTGAACAGCCTTGTTCAGCACATCTCTTCACAACTGTAGTGGGTTATTTTCCCTAACCAGAAGGGAGATAACAAGATGCCTTTCTTTTTTCAACCCAAAGACCTTAAGATGAGTCAACCAGACAGAGCCTGTCTACCTGCTTACCACTTTAATGCTGTAAGCAGACTACAAACTGTCAGAGGAAAAGATCAGACAAGCCACCAGATGGTTATAGAAAATCTGCTTTAAATGTGAAGATCATTGCCTCCCAAGCTACAACCTGCAGCTGACTGGTTTCCTACAAGACCACCAAATGCAGCCTGCTGCTGCTCCACTGGATCCATTGGCTTGGGGGTACCTTCATATAAACCTGGTGACAGGGACAGCTAGCAGCCATGAAGAAATCTTGAGCACTGGAAGTGGCCCACAGTGCCACCAGATTTGGGAGCTCCTGCTTCAGAAACCACGAGACAGATCCCTGAAGACATCATTACACTGGAGAGAGCTCACAGGAGACACATTGTGGGTCCTCTCCTGGTTGCTGGGCCTTAACCAAGTTCACTTAGTTTCTCAGCACACTATTACACTGGTTCATTTTTTATCAGACAAGACTGCCAAGGGGTCAGGAACACCAGTGGATTAACACTACATCTTGAATGCTGCCAGATGGGCTCGGCCATACAGCTTGACTGATAACCAACACATGTGGCAGTCTGCTAGGAATGATCCTGTACCACAAGGAGCAGCTGAGCCAGAGACACCAAAATACTGAAACCTCCTGAAGAAACCTCAAGAGCCACCAGGATGAGCGAGTGGCACTCGTGGGAACGTCTCAGCGCTTTGCCAGCACTTGCGGTGTCACATTCCCCTTCTGTGTCCACTTCAGAGGAATTTGAAATTTGAGTGCTCTACTCCAGCAGATAAAAGCCACTGGTAGCACAAGGGTGATTACATCCACTCAGGTACTGTACAAACCTTTACCCTAAGGGGAAGTCACATGGATGCACGGTAATGAAAATGATAAGTGAATTTGCCAAAGGGAAACATGTTTTAAAATCCAATTTCTTTAGTTCTGGAAATAACTTGCTCTGAAATACAACCTTCCACAAATCACTGGCCTACAAAATGCAGCTCTTACTCCCTGCCAGGATTACTCACAGCAAACATGTCTGCACAAGGGCACGGTACTGCAGGGAATCCATCCCCCATCCTTTTAGGATGATTAATAGCTACTAATAATGTTCCCTTCCCCCCTTGCAGTAAGGTCTGGGCTTATCTCAGTGCTGTTAATGCTGCTTTTGAGATTTACTCACCTACCAGTTAAATCAGGAAAGCAAAAAGCATTTCTGTTATTAAGTGAGGAGCAGAGAGCTGCCACTGGGAAGACCTTTTCCTGCTTTTATTTTAGTCACATCCCTCCCTGGTTCGCAGGGAGCAGCAGAAGCAGGCATATGGCTGGGGGCGGGGGGGCAGGCAGAGGCACTCAAAGCACTGACAAATACAAGCCAGTTTACACAACCCAACCAAAAGGACTCCAAAAAATGAACAAAAGCTTTCAGGCTCACAGGCATGCAGTAAATGTTGCACCGCCTGAAACTACTTTGCTCCTGCTTTCCTCTCAGATGGTTCAAAGCTTTGCACCAGCCTCTCTTGTCCCAGCGTGGGGCAGAGACCAGCAGGAGCCGAGAGGAAGGCCTTGCACACCTTGCACAGGCAGGTGACCCAAAAACGAGCAGATACAGCTGCACTTTAGCATGGGAAGGTGAAGAGGGCTGAATAACAGCAGAGCCAACTCTGGTGGAGGGAATATGGGCAGCATCACAGGGCCCCAGGACTCCTCCAGCTCTAGGGACACTATGGTTGGGTAAATAAAGCTCTGCGCACCCTGCAACATCATGCTCCAGGGCTTCCCTTGAAAACAAGCCATGACCGACCTTGTGGTGATTGCTCCCAGACAACTGTGTAACACTTTGCCATTAGGTCATTTCACTGCTGAACAGACAATACTGAGACAGGCTGAGCAGCACTGCTTCATGCTGTATCCAAAATAGGTCCCAGAGCTCCCTAGAGTATGCCTACAGTGTTGCTCTGTTTGGCTGGCATTTCTGTGTAAGAAATCTGGGCTACCACAGAAATAATTTAGACACAACCAGACACATCAGACTAGGTCCCTGATACCAGCTCAGACACATTTGCCAGCATATGGAAGAAACAAATAATCCCCATAATCTGTGGGCTTGATTGTACACTCTTTACTCATGCAAAGCTCAATGTAGTAGATTATGGTTTAGATCAGTTACAGGCTTGGACTCCACCTTTTTTAAAGAGGTCCCACAGATTCAGAGTTGGTATGGATAGAAGAAAAATGTACTTTATTTTCTTACACTACAGAGTGAAGCTTTGTGCATGTATGCATATACACACACGTGCACACACATATATATTTATATAAAGCTCTGCAATCATGAAAAGGGTAGAAAAACTATCTGCCCCCTTGCCTTCTCTGCACACACACTGGCCTCCACCGTACCACCACCACTGGGACTTTGCAAAGTTCAGATTTCTGTCCCACAAATGGTTTGCCTGCTCTCATCCCCTTCCACTGGCGGCCAGGCAGCACACCAAGGACACTGCTATGACATGTCAAGTCTTCAGCCAGTCTTTGGGCAAGTTTACAATAGAGAAGAACATGCTTTCATTTAGCAGAGGGAATGAGACATATATGGCTGCTTACCCAGCTCCCAGGTCCTCTTTATAAAACTTCTGTCTGTCCCAGAGCTAGTCAAACACAGCTGCATTTTACACTGGATGCAGTTGCCTCCATACACGTTACCTACCAAGCTCTGTAGTGTCTGGACAGGGATATATGGTGCCTTTTTCCTTCTGCAGGCGAAGAGCCGAGAGGCAGCAGTGGGTACATTAAGGGAAGTTGCTGCCCACAGCAAATGAGAGGGAGGAAGGGTGGGAAGCATTTCTATGAAAAGCAGCATAACACAGCTCCATGTGAGTCGAGATAGATGGGTGGGTCTAAAATTAATTCAATTCTTTCTGGCCTTCTCCCCCCATCCATTCAGGCACACTCCTTGGTTGCTCGATCAGCCCTTCCCAGTTTCTCACAGACCCTGCAGCCTCCAGCACCGCCCATCACTCCACACCTAAACATGCATTTCGAGGAGTGGTGAAGAGATAAGAAACAAGAAAGTTAACATCAGCCAAGAAAAAGATCTGGATAAACAGCACCTATCTGAGCTTGAGAGGAAAACCCAGCTGTGTCTTTGCTGGACAAGACAGACACACATCAACATACTTCTAAGGCCACCAGTCACAACGAGACATCTCTGACATCCAGTTTAATCCTCCCCACCCACACACACTGCTCTCTTACCATGAGTAATGCCCTCAGTGCTGGAGTATTACGCTAAGCAGCCACAGCTTCTCCCAGCAAAAGCATGCAGCTGGGTCAGCAGAGATCAGAGGCTATGAGAAAATTCAGGCAAGCACGTTCCCCACCCCTTCTCTTCAGGAGAGGGGGAACAATGGGCCAGTTCCTTACAAGCAACTCCACAGGCCTTTCCTCCCAAGCTGCTACCAC